CTCAAAAGATAGAGAATAAAAAACTCTATTAGAACTGTTAAAGTTGTTTTCAAAGTCACCCGACACATGCCTACTATAATTTTGTTTCTGTGTCAAAATTAAAAAAAACATTTAGGGTAATTTTTACGAAAAAAATTAGTACGCCACTGAATTTGGCATGCTTAAAAATGGGTAAATACCAAATTTCATTAAAAACAATCGATTGATAATTATTTTACAACGGTTTATTTATTGATTTTTTAAATGTTTATAACGGCAATAGAAACACATATAAAAGGTTTAGGAAAAAAATTAGGTACGCCACCGAGTTTGGCAGGCTTTAAAATGGGTTTCATCAAAAATAAACAATTAATAACTATTTTGGGCAAGTTTATTTTTTTACGTTATAATCATTAATAATTATTAATTATAATTAATTATTGCTACAAAACAAAAACTAAGATAGCTATGCTTACAACTTCAAACAAACGTCAAACCAAAAACAGGCGATTTGACAGAAAATAGTAGCGTCCTTTTTGTTTATTTAAAAGTTCTTATCTACAATCATTATGGCCCATCAGTTTTTAGAGCACAAAGTTGAAATAATTTCGTTATCTCCTACTAAACAGACAATTATTGTCCGTTTAGTAGGAGATTAATTGTTTATTTTTGATGAAACCCATTTTAAAGCCTGCCAAACTCGGTGGCGTACCTATTTTTTTCCTAAACCTTTTATATGTGTTTCTATTGTCGTTATAAACATTTAAAAAATCAATAAATAAACCGTTGTAAAATAATTATCAATCGATTGTTTTTAATGAAATTTGGTATTTACCCATTTTTAAGCATGCCAAATTCAGTGGCGTACTTATTTTTTTCGTAAAAATTACCCTAAATGTTTTTTTTTAAATTTTGACACAGAAAAAAATTATAGTAGGCATGTGTCGGGTGACTTTGAAAACAAGTTTAACAGTTCTAATAGAGTTTTTTATTCTCTATCTTTTGAGCCTTTGTTCAATAAAATCGGGTTACAAATAAAAAAGTTACGGGGGTGTTTCCATCTTAAGTGGGCCACACTGTATGTATAATTTTTCGAATTATTTTAGTTATCTCTGGCGCACTTTAACTGCATCGTCCCAGGCTTATCATGCGAATAAACTTACGAAAGATCAAATAAATGCAGCACACAATACATGCGGACCTGCACATTTGACAAGCGGAGACGCATCTATAGAAAAAATGCGTAAATACCTGTTCGACTCTCCACCAAAAGACAAACTTTGGAGTTCTATGGAAGAGATTTTTTCTCACTGGTGGAAGTATAATTTAAAAATCATACACAACTATAGCTACTGTATGGGAAATCTTTTGAAATTATTCGTTTGGTATGAACCATATTAAACAACCTCACGTATTATTGTAAGAAAATTATTAAAGTTTTTACAATAAAATATAGTAGGTATTTTTTTTATTCTACAAGACCTTCCCGAACGTTTTTGATGGGTTAAATTTAAATCCGACCTCAAAATACATCACGTCAAGTTTTTGGGAACATAAATGTTCAGTATATTTAAATCCATTATCCACTACCTATTTTTTTCCTGACAAACACAACTTTTGTGAATATATATAAAGTACGTTAATTGTATACATTAAAAATTAAAATTATACCTTAATAATCTAATGGACTTGGAATGATTCGGTTTAGTATTTTAATAATAAATATTAGCAGTAGAAACTTGTATAAACTTTTCCTTAAGGTTAATCGATTGGTTATATTGCAGGAAGAAATAATAAAATATAAAGGGTGGCCCAACGAAAACAAAACGGAGAAGTTTTTGGGTAGTAGGTAAGCAGTGATTTTTAAAAAAGATCCGTCAACTTTAGTTTAGAGGGCTAAGAGCTATGTCTCTTAATCTAAATCACACGGAAAGAAATTTTAAATACAATTAATCCAGTAAGGTACCTAGTATTGCAATCAAATTTTTGATCAATATAGCGCCAATCCAAAATTAGACTAATATCAATAATTCATTCGATTGAATTATTTGGTAGGCTTAAATGTATCAAACCGTGATAAATAGCAGCAAATAAGTTTTATAAATCACTACAAAATTTAGAATAATTATAGTGAAAATTAAATTAAATTCGCCTACGATTTTCTAGAATCCACATAATATTGTCTTAAATTTACCAATTTTTGGATTTAATTAAGCACTTTTTAGGTCAATTTAATCTATTTTTTTAATAGTAGTTATAAAAAATTTGGCAAAATTAAGAATAATTAGAATAAAGTTTATCAGACTATTTGATTGATTCGTGCAAAATTTATCTAAATAGTTAGTAAAAAATATATTGAATTTATCAAAAATTTTATTATTTTAATCAATTCAATATTTGATTATTGACTGGAATATTGATCTTCGTAATAAGCTGTGATAGTGAGGTAGGTAAAGTATATGAGGCCTGTCATAGCAAAACCAATCTCCACTTTTGGTCAAAAATTAGATTTTTGGCGGACACTGTACTTCAACTAATTATCTATAAGATGATAAAGTTTATGTGCTGCAAAAGGAGCTAAATCCTGCCTAAAATCCTATTTTAAAAATGACATTTAGTGCAAAGTCGACAATCTCCACTGATAGATTTGCAGCAAAGTATACAATCTCCAATTCCACCATTAGAAATTAGTAATTTGTGTCACCTGATATCCTAACATTTGATGTTATAACGTATTTTAGAGATTTAATTTTGTGTTTTTTTACTGGTACATACTGTTAAGTTCTATTGCAGTAAATTGAACTTAAACATATATTTAAAATAGGAATTATAAAAAAAGTTATTTTGTTTATTTTGTGCTATAGGTAAAGCAAGAAAAGGCTGATAATGTCAAAACATTGCAAGTAAAACATTACGGGGCAAAGTGGAAAGAAGATGATAAGTTGTTGTACTATAAAAACTTTTTTGCACGAGGCAACCTGGTCCCAGATTTAGAAGAAACTCCAGATTTATGTGGTCTAGTTCAGAATTTTCCCACATTGATTGTATAGTTAAATTTTATAACCATTACAGGAAAAAAATACAATTATTTTTTTGTTTATTTTGCTAAATCTTCTTAAACGTTTACAACAAAATGAGCAATCTCCAGCAATTCATATCAAAGTCAGCATTCTCCAATTTATAATTATAGATTTCACCTATACTATGCATCCTGGAGACCTTGTAGTTTGCTACTAGACTAACAACACCAATATTTCAATAATATATAAAAAAAATTACAAATCTACAATTTAAAATACCAAAATCAATTATCTCAATTTACTCAGTTTTAGCCTGACGGGAGATTGTTGACTTTGCTCTGACAAGCCTCATATATACTAAATTTTGTGTTTAATAAATATTCATTTATTTTAGCTTACAAACTTTCATAAAAAATAACTCAATAAAATAATAATCTATAGGTTCAAAATACAAAAAAATATCTTAATAATGGTTTAGTTTAACAAGTGTTTTTTATGTTTAATTGACTAATATAATGTATAATTTTTAAAGTTTTAAAATATTTGCGTTTAAAACCTTAAAAAACAACTGTTTAAATTTAATTTAACGGCGTCAAATTAATCAAAGATGGTGGCTGGAGATATCTCACGTGGTGCGTACAACAGTTTTCGTTCGAATGCCAACGAAATCGAACAGACCTTCTTGTGGGGATTGTGATCACGATTTTAATATTATCCATGTCCCTGACGTCTACTTGACAGTGAAAATGCTTGGTGGGAACATATCTATATTACTCTTAATAACCAAAAACGTGAAAATTAAAAAAATTTATTATACCTACATATATCGCAAAAACCATGAGAGTGAAGTCAAAATAAACGGTTTTGGAATCTGCTGTGTTGAATAGACACGATCGTTCTTTCAAAATACAACACCACCTGCAGGTGGTGTCGAGACATGTCTCGAAGAGAAACTGAAAACTAAAACGCGTTAAAAATTAAAAATTGGCATGTTTGCTAAATTTGTTGCTTATATTACAGATTTGGTCAAAATATAAGCTTGATTGACTTTTAATAATTCAGTCAAAAATTGGATAATCGTATTAAAAATTTGATAGAATAAGTTTTATATTTTATTAATGTTAGTACACATTTCATAGGTCTTTTTCTAAAATTCAGTAAATTTTTATAATATACCTAATTCAATCTAGACAGAATTATTTTAATTTAAACATGTATAGATATTAAGCAATTATTTTATTGTTTTTATTCCAAATATATTTGAAATATGTTTAAATTATAATAATCTTGTCTAGATGAAATTATTAGAAACATTTACTGAATTTTAGAAAAAGACCTATAAAATGTGTACTAACATTAATCAAATATAAAACTAATTCTATCCAACTTTTGATACTACTTACTAATACTAGTAAAAATAAAGTTAAATCCATTTAGTTTTTATTTAAATATTATTTGATAAAATTAATCCAAATAGGAATATAATAATAAATCCAAGAGTTGATCTTATCTATCTTTTCTTTAAAAATTAAGCTTACGTTACATAAAACCAATCAGGTTTAAGAAAAACTTTTTCTGTGACCAATCTTAACTTTGCTGTTCCTGGAAAAAAATGTATTCGATTTAGCACTTAAACGATAATGTCTATCTAAGGATGTTAATTTTAATGTGATGATATTCATCAAATGTACATATTTATCATAAAAAACTTAAATTTGTCAGTTTTTTCTTGATTTATTCTATTTTCATTCATTTTGGATAAATTTTGTCTTTTTTTAAATTAATAAATGGATTTGATTTACTTTATCATAACATTTCTTTCCGTGTATTAAAAATATGTCCCCCTCGAAACAGAAGTTGACGTGTTTTTGCGGTTTTTAAAATCACTGCTTACTATTATAGTATTTACCTGAAAACTCTGTTTAGTTTCCTTTGAGGCACCTTGTATATGTTATATTAAAAAAATATTGAGTTTAAAAATAAAGGCTTACTACAATATCTTTAAAAATGTATATTTAATTTAAAAACATTGCATTTGTGAACAACTATTTCACCTATAAAAACTAAAATATATACCAGATAAACGAAAAACAAAATTGAAATTGAATAAACCAGATTAAATTGTTTGGATCTTGTTTTACTGGTATTGACAGCCCTGTTTTTTATTTTGTTTCTAAACACTGCACCAAGTTGAAATTCCCTCTCCAAAAGTACAATTTTATTGACCATACTCAAATAGGGTGAATTTTTCTTAAGAATGTATTGTTTCAAACCATACGTGAATGCTTCATCCAAAATATAAAATAGTGGTTCCTTGTTATCGTCCAGTAAATATATACTATAATATTTGGCCATATCTTCCCTTAGAAGGTAATATGAGCCCGGTTGCAAATGCCCTGTCATGAAGGAGTAATTATTAAATTTGCTGATAATAAAATTCGGTGCAAGCCCCAATTCGGGTGGGACTACTGAAGCAAAATAGTCTATCGTGTAAATAGAAACATTAAGGTCTTTAACTTCACTGATTTTCTGTAATTTATACTGTTTATTATGAGAAATAAGCCTGCTTGTGAGAGAACTGCTGAAAGTTGTCATCAAAATGATTGAAGTAAATATCCACAAGGCTATAAATAGTTTTAGTTTCCATTTAACAGCAGACAAATGCGGTACACTGGTTAGAAACAGGACCCTCCAAGCTAAAGTGATGTAATTATTTTGAAATTGAGTTTTTCTGCCCAAAAATTTTAAAACAAACACCACAAATAAAAAAGATAAAAAGGTACACGCCCAGGAGTATTTATCAGCTATACTCCAAAAGCTGATATAACCAGGCACCTTTGGGTCTTCTGGTATCAGCAGAACCAGCTTATCAATACCATGTGGATATGTTAAATCTACATCATTATATAGTTTTGTTCTAAAAGTACTAACAATTATAAAATCACCTTTATTTTGTTGTAAACAAGTTTGAGCAGCAGCAAAAAAATCAACTTCCAAAATACTTTCAGTTGCCTTGAGCATCGAAGAGTATGTAACGTAGTTGTAATAATCATCGCCCACCCATGTGTTATTCATTTGGAAAAACAAAGGTTTGTAATCAAATCCTACACCTCTAAAAGGATGATGATTGAAATTTAAAGTCTTCTTCGAAAAAGCTTTTTGTACTTCTGATAAGGCAAGTTTTTGAATTTGCCTATCATCTAAATGATTGTACTTGTAAATCTGTAAGTCCGGCAAGTCTTCCAGCAAAAATGTTACAGCAAAATTACTCAAATTATTTGAACAAATGTCATCGATAAATTTCCCCACAGAAAAGCCTTTTAGCATTCTTCTTGTTATCATAATCACCGACGCTAATTTGGTGTTCCAAAACGGCATCGATAGCAATATTGAGATTGTTTTATTGATCTCACTTGGTGTTTCGATAAAAACAAAAGCCCCTTGGGACATGGGCCATAAAGAACCGTTGAAATTCACCCCACGATCCAGAACTATTCCAGGACAATTTCCATCCTCAATAATCCAATCTAAACACTCTATATTACCAATGAACACACACATGCTCAATTTTCGAATGGCATTAGAGTGATAGGTAAAGAATTCTTTTAAAATAGCAAAGTAATCATTTTCAATTAGTTGTGGCGAAGATTTAATACAATGCATGTTTAATACTAATAAAATAGTACATTTTAATACAAGCATTGTTTGTGTTTGCATTAGTCAAGTTTATACTAATATTTTATTAACCGATACATTAGTGCTGTATGTTTTTTCCAAATTCTTTTAAACTTTTGATCTATTAGCTGCGTTTTTACTATTAATCAGAAACAAAAATATTCCATAAATATGCTAAGTAATGTAATTAAAGAAATGTGGGCAAACAAAAAATACAATACAATATTAAGGTATACAAATATAATCAACTAAAATATGTAAAATAAAATTACCTAAGCAGATCATTTTTTAGAGGCAAATCATAAAAAGAAGACTTAATACCTATTACTTTTTTAACTGTTAATGATCCAAAAATATTTGGGTGAATATGTTGAGATGTCCCCCAAGTGAAAATGATTATTTTTTATTTTTGGTTGTTTCACTGCTAGTCTAGAATGGGGTTTTTACAAAATGTATGATTTTTAGACTTGGCTTCATGTAGCTTAGACTGGGACAAACTCAAAGAACTCGGGTAAGAATTTTTTTTTAAATCTACACGAGTAAAACTTTATTTTTAATAAAAAAATATAAAAATAAAAAAAAATAATTAAAACAGCTCGAGACCAATGGTCACTGACCATTCATGAAGGTGAGGCCCATGAACCGCTATATGGCACCGCCGGCAATTTTTTTTGAAATTTTTAGTCTTGCGTTTTTGGAGCACTTCAGAATCTAAATGATAAAAATATATTATTTAAAAATATGTTCTTTACGATAAGAATTTTCAAAATTTAGCTAGAATAATACAAAAAGTGCGGGACGAGGTGGGATTTTTATTTATTCCTTCAGCAGGTTTCCACATTACCCAGGAGGTACTGCTCATAATTATTTTTAGATTAATAAAGGCACAACCGCACAACAACAAAATAATAATGTACAAGCACAGTAGGTATATGAAACTCAACGATTAAACACTGAACTATAAAAAAAAATGAATATTTTTATTTATATTTTTAGTGATTTTTACTGTGGTATTTGTGTGTTAATATACTAATATATTAAAATAAAAATGATCTTTTATAATTATTTGAATTATTTTTACATGAATTCACAACACAATAATGTATTTTACGCTTGCATTTTTATCACAACTTTCCATTTTAACGCTAAGGCAAAGACTAAACAGAAATAAAAAACTATAAACACGCATAGATCTAATTATTAAACTTTGTTTACTATAACATTCCCCGCCCAGTCTTTAACAACGGCTGATAAGCGAGCCGCACAGATCTCGGGACTGACTCTGCTGTCTTCCATATACTGTGGTACAAGCCCAAATTTGTGGGCCTCAAAAATTCGCGTATTATCCCCGCCTTGCGGGCATGACGTTGTATCGGCAATGTGTGACGTATATGAAGCGCAAATTTTTGGGATTACATTTCCCTATTATGCGTTTAGAATTTAAGTTGGAAGGGGTGCGCGCTAAATTTAAAGGAAATATTTTATATTTTAATGGTTATTCTATGTTTTGATACTTTTAATGACTGGAAATTAGTTTTAAAACGTTTTATATTTAAATAAGTAATGTATCGAAAATTTCAAATTATATTATAATTTTAACATGTGAGGCCCAGCCTCAATTGCTTTATACGACGAGCCGCCACTGATATATATTAAAAATACCTATAATAGAATTATAATATTATATCACTGCCCAGTTGCAATGATATAAAACGTGCGCGTTTTGAATCCCCTCCCATGTATCAGAAGCTACCAGACTTTGTTAGAAAATTGACATGCTATTGGGATAATTCTGGTGTATCTTGAATGAATTGCGTAAAAATTTGATCGAAAACACTTTGCACTTGGTTGAAAGAATAAACATTCATGTTTTTGTTTTCAAGAGAACTATACTTCTTCCACTAAGATCTTTTTTCTTCAAGCAATAAATACTCTTTTATGCTAAAATATTGTTTCTTGTCGCTAATAATTTTTTATCAAGAGAGTTGTCTACTTTAGTGATAATGATAGGGCAAGTGATATTAAGTTTAAAAATAAGGGCTTACTACAATATCTTTAAAAATGTATATTTAATTTAAAAACATTGCATTTGTGTACAACTATTTCACCTATAAAAACTAAAATATAAACCAGATAAACGAAAAACAAAATTGAAATTGAATAAACCAAATTAAATTGTTTGGATCTTGTTTTACTGGTATTGACAGCCCTGTTTTTTATTTTGTTTCTAAACACTGCACCAAGTTGAAATTCCCTCTCCAAAAGTACAATTTTATTGACCATACTCAAATAGGGTGAATTTTTCTTAAGAATGTATTGTTTCAAACCATACGTGAATGCTTCATCCAAAATATAAAATAGTGGTTCCTTGTTATCGTCCAGTATATATATACTATAAAATTTGGCCATATCTTCTCTCAGAAGGTAGTATGAGCCTGGTTGCAAATGCCCTGTCATGAAGGAGTAATTATTGAATTCGCTGATAATAAAATTCGGTGCAAAGCCCAATTCGGGTGGCACTACTGAAGCAAAATAGTCCATCGTATAAATAGAAACATTAAGGTCTTTAACTTCACTGATTTTCTGTAATTTATACTGTTTATTATGAGAAATAAGCCTGCTTGTGAGAGAAGTGCTAAACGTTGTCATCAAAATGATTGAAGTAAATACCCACAAGGCTATAAATAGTTTTAGTTTCCATTTAACAGCAGACAAATGCGGTACACTGGATAGAAACAGTACCCTCCAAGCTAAAGTGATGTAATTATTTTGAAATTGAGTTTTTCTGCCCAAGAGTTTTAAAACAAACACTACAAATAAAAAAGATACAAAGGTACAAGTCCAGGAGTATTTATCAGCTATACTCCAAAAGCTGATATAACCAGGCACCTTTGGGTCTTCTGGTATGAGCAGAACCAGCTTATCAATACCATGAGGATATGTTAAATCTACATCATTATATAGTTTTGTTCTAAAAGTACTAACAATTATAAAATCAGCTTTATTTTGTTCCAAACAAGTTTGAGCAGCAGCAAAAAAATAAACTTCCAAAATACTTTCAGTTGCCTTGAGCATCGAAGAGTATGTAACGTAGTTGTAATAATCATCGCCCACCCATGTGTTATTCATTTGGAAAAACAAAGGTTTGTAATCAAATCCTACACCTCTAAAAGGATGATGATTGAAATTTAAAGTCTTCTTCGAAAAAGCTTTTTGTACTTCTGATAAGGCAAGTTTTTGAATTTGCCTATCATCTAAATGATTGTACTTGTAAATCTGTAAGTCCGGCAAGTCTTCCAGCAAAAATGTTACAGCAAAATTACTCAAATTATTTGAACAAATGTCATCGATAAATTTCCCCACAGAAAAGCCTTTTAGCATTCTTCTTGTTATCATAATCACCGACGCTAATTTGGTGTCCCAAAACGGCATCGATAGCAATATTGAGATGGTTTTATTGATCTCACTTGGTGTTTCGATAAAAACAAAAGTCCCTTGGGACATGGGCCATAAAGAACCGTTGAAATTTACCCCACGATCCAGAACTATACCAGGACAATTTCCATTCTCAATAATCCAATCTAAAAACTCTATATTACCAATGAACACACACATGCTCAATTTTCGAATGGCATTAGAGTGATAGGTAAAGAATTCTTTTAAATTATCGAAGTAATCATTTTCAATTAGTAGTGGCGAAGATGTAATACGGTGCATGTTTAATACTAATAAAATAGTACATTTTAATACAAGCATTGTTTGTGTTTGCATTAGTCAGGTTTATACTAATATTATATTAACCGATACATTACTGCTGCATGTTTTTTCCAAATCCTTTTAAACTTTTGATCTATTAGCTGCGTTTTTCCAATAGAAATTTTTATATTTTTTCTTGGCGATTGACAAAATGTTTGTTTTTATTTATAACGGATACTAAAAATAAAACTATTAATCAGAAACAAAAATATTCCATAAATATGCTAAGTAATGTAATTAAACAAATGTGTGTAGTGTAATAAGGTATACAAATATAATCAACTAAAGTATGTAAAATAAAATTACCTAAGCAGACCATTTTTTAGAGGCAAATCATAGAAAGAAGACTTAATATTACTTTTTTTAACTGTTAATATTCCAAAAATATTTGGGTGAATATGTTGAGATGTCCCCCAAGTGAAAATGATTATTTTTTATTTTTGGTTGTTTCACTTTTAGCCTAGAATGGGGTTTTTGGGAAGCCACAATGTCTAGTAATAACATATGCACTAATGCAAGAATTTTAGGAAATCATACATTTTGAATATTACAGCTTCACGGAAGATAGCTTCACGGAGGTTAGGATTTCGTACGTTTTTTGTTTATTTGGAATACGTTATTGTAACTTTTGACACCTTAATATTTTAAAAAAATACAATTTTACATACATAAAATATTTATAAAAAAAATCTACTACTGTGATATTACACTTCACGGTGGATAGGTTTTTAAATAGCAAATTAATGAACTTAAACTTTTGAATTATAAAACAGCAACACTCTCATCTGCATATAATTCTAACTGACCTTCAGGAATCACATGCATCTATAATGTCGTAAACAGAGGTTTTTGCTTATTTAAAATGATTAAAGCGCCATCCATTGCATAAAATTTAGAGCAAAAACAGATTCACGGAGGATAGAATCAATTTTTGTAACACCTACATAAATGGATATAAAAATTATTTCTTTTAATTTTTAATAATATTTTATATTTGATTAGATTAAGCAATTGCTTTGGATGTGTTTAATTTACTTGGTGAACTGATATTTTTAGTATGCTTTTACTACCTCAGATATTTGAAAACGTATAGGTTAACCTAGAAAGAGTAACAGTCACGGAGGATAGGTTTTGGATTTTTAAAACATTGTAAAAAATAATTAATTGCGGTTTAAAATCTGGAACCTGAGCTGTAATATCTACTTAATTATGAAAGATCAAAACACAATAAAAGTGTAGGTCAAACTCATTTAGTTTTATTAAATATCACTGGGTAACACCATCGGGGGACATTTCGTGAGATTCACCAAATTATATTTGTAACTTTATAACTTATCAATGATAAGTTAACGATAACTTATTGATATATTATGAATAGTTCATACTTTTTGAAAGTTTTTGAGTTTTTTTGACCTAGACACACAGGCCATACCTCTAGTCTCTAATAAAATATTTTTTGTACAATAACTGTTTCCGAGAAAAAATTAAAAAAGGTGTCAAAGTGTTTGGGGTTTATATTGGCACCCAATAAGAAAACCGGAAAAAAATAATATAATTTAACATTTACTTTGTTTTTAAATTTTGGGATTTAATATTTTTTTCGGTGTTTCTTTCTCTCTTCACACTACGTCACGAAAGTGCAGCGGGTGAACTCGTCGTGTATACTCTGGACACACTAAAGCAAATCATGTAAATGTATTAAAAAATCGTGGTTCTATTTCTCAAACTTACAGAGAGCTGCGACCATCTTACAATCGACTTTAGATCAAATAATTTGGCAAACGATTTTAAGCCTCGTGGACGCCATTTAATAAATAAAGCTCGCAAACTTTCTTTGTATGTCTAGTACCAACAATTTTTTAAATATTTAAATAAAAACATAACTTTTACATTAGCCAGTTGGATAGTAGATAATGTTTTATTAACTAACGCATTAGTGCATGCGTTTTTGTAAATCAATTTAAACTTCCAGCAATTAGCAGCCTTTTTACAGTAGTTCAAATTATAATTTGGCCTTTTGTCTGCCTTAATTTTCTCACATATCTCTTTGGCGGTCATTACAAGAAATGCGCTTAAATTCACATTAAGCGCATCATAAACATTAAGTGTTTTTGTAATTACGACGGGTGGTCAAAGTACAGTTTTTGAAGCGCCTACGGCAAAAACTTGTGGTAAAAAATGAGACACCGGAATTTGTTGAAGAAAAATCAAATTATTGTGTCTATTTGGAAAATTGCTATATAAACAATTATTTTGGAATTTAGCAATTAAAAATATACAACTTGATTTCTATAAAATATAATTTTTAGGTTTTTTAAAGGATTTCGATTTTGCTGCTAAACTTAGGTTTTAATTAATTTAAATTAAAATTCTTTTTTTTAATTTAAAATTCTAAAAAAATTATATGCACATTTCTCCAGCAGTAAATTAGTATTTGCCGATAAAGAGTTAACATGTTTGGGTGGAGTACCCATAAAACACCCTTTTCACTTTCACTGCTTTTATATCGAATATAAACGTTTCTCTATTTTCAATTTTTACAGAAAAATTGACGAATTATAACCTGGTGATCAAATGAGGATAAAAAGTGTTTCTATGTTCCAACTGTGATTATTGATCAGCTTACTAAACTTACTTACTTAAGTTTGTAATTTATGTTTATTTTATGTTTTCAGTTTATATTAACTTAATTATATCCTTACAAAATTTTTGTGTTGGTCGCTGAATATATATTTAATCTATCGACATTTGTACTTTTATAAGTGGAGACGCACTTCATGTTGAATTATTTCTCTATATTATTACCCTGATAGCACACTTTATTCTCAGAATGTTTTTTAAACCTTCCAGTGAGAATATTCTTAAGATCATGCTATATTTCTTCTAAAGAACATGTTTAAAAGACATATAGCATGATCCTAAGAATATTCTTACTGGCCTATAGGCAGGTTCTTAGAAGGTGCAAAGTTTTAGTGGTAAAAATTAGTCTACTCTAAACATATGCTTAGAATGTTAAGAAAGTAATTGCTATAGAAAGTTCATTTAGGAATATTCCTTTTAAGCATATTTAGTTCAGTTACCTATATAATAGTAAAATATACCAAACTATGTATAAAGGTATATACCTATACTTAAGTACCTAATTAGTAATTAGTATTAAATACTAAGTAAAAAACACAATCCAAAATATTTTTTTATAGTTATTTGTCAAATTTAAACAATATTCGATAACAAAAATACTTTTAGTATGGGTATTTTATTTTATGTTAAAAATAAATATTTATTGATTTGTATACCGATTTTTTATTTCAGAATTAACGTTTTTATGTATAATAATCCTAACTATCTTCAACTTCATTCTAATCTGACTTATCCCACAAAATTTTCCAATTTTTCTTTTTATGAAATAATGTCATACAACTTATGGTTTAGAGGTCAAATTGTTTATTTAATATTTTTAAATAAAAATATTAATATGTCGCAAAATTTTTTAAGGGGACGACAAATACATTTCACTGACATATTTGGAAATATTCTCAAAAGCTTCCTAGAAGCTTCATAAGAAACCTTCCAAGAACATTCCAAAAACGTATTCTTAAAATGTTCTTAGGATGCTTTTTAGGAAGGTTTTAAGAAGCTTTTAAGAATCTAAATGCATCATTAAAAGGGTATCTATTGAATGTTTTAAAAGTCCCTAAGAACATTCTTAGCAATAAGGGAAGGTTCTAAGAATATTCCATTATTCCGGGTCATATCTTTTTAGAAGATTCTTAAAATCAAATTTTGCTATCAGGGTAGAATTATCTATACGAATTTTATTTTTCAGTTTGTAGTTTATGTTTTGTTATGTTTATTTTATGTTTTCAGTGTAAGTTTATATTAAGTTTAGGTATTCTATTTTCCATATTTATTCGCTGAATATATAGGTATATAAATTAATAATTTAATTTCATTTTACTTTTTACTACACTCGCATCCCAAAAATTATTAAAAATTTAAATAAATTTGAGAAATTATTATAACCATTTCACCACAAAATATTATATTAAAAAGTCTCTAAAATACTCATTTATAAATACTTATTTATACTTATAAGTATACTTACACAAATATTATTATATAAGCCGATTAGATTAACATATGTTCAAATGTCAAATAAATTATGTAAGTTAATATAATCAGTTTACTACAATTATTTGCTACAATTTTTAGCACCAATTTGTTAAACAAATTCATACACTGAAAAAAAATATTCTTGATTCAAAACAATCTTTGTCTCATATATAACGAAGAGAATATATTCTTTAAAATAGTAAAGTATTTTCTTAATTCACGTTGATTTACTTCAAGAATCTTTTCTTAATGTTCTTACATTAAGAAAATATTCTTGAAGTAAATCAACGTGAATTAAGAAAATACTTTACTATTTTAAAGAATATATTCTCTTCGTTATATATGAGACAAAGATTGTTTTGAATCAAGAATATTTTTTTTCAGTGTACAATTATGAAACAAAATCAAACGATTTTTTCTCTGTGATTACTCCAGAACAAATATGAAAGTGTATTGAAATAAATGGAGGATTAGTAATTAGTAACGAAAATGTAATTGAGATATCCCCCAAGTGAAAATGATTATTTTTTATTTTTGGTTGTTTCACTGTTAGTCTAGAATGGGGTTTTTGGGAAGCCACCAGGTCTAGTAATACCATAACATAAGTGCTTCTGCACTAATGCAAGAATTTTAAGATAGCATGCATTTTGAATATTAGAGCTTCACGGAAGATAGCTTCACGGAGGTTAGGATTTCGTATGTTTTTTTAAAACATCCCTTTGTATATTTGAAATAAGTTATTGTAT